CCTAAACCTCTAAGCATACTTCCCTTGTTAGAAGTAGAAGTCATTTGTTATGCATTCTATGTTATTGAAAAGAATATGTTCTAACAACAAAACAAATGTTAAAACATTTGATTGAAACTTTAGAAATCAATTTAACTTTGCATTGCTGTTTCACATAGAACCGAGCTCTGAGTATTCGGTGTCCTGTAAGCCATTTTTTACAGAGAAAAACTATAGCTTTTCCGAATGTTTGATAGATGCGATAGAGGATTATCTCTCTCGAGAACAGTTTCGAAATTAGAGTCCCGAGTTGCTGAGAATATGTATAGCTTTTTGAATTGCCACTACGTATAATTCCCTTGTTAATTAGATGTTTCTCTCTTGCTAAACTCTTAAATTTTAGGTGGGCCTTCTTTGTTCTCTGTGCCGTCCGGTTGGTTGGCAAATCGCAGGAATTGTACCAACACCTGAGAGTAATGAAATTATTTCGATCGAACAAGGTACATCTGGATTTGTTAGTCGCATTATGATATATTTTTATGGCTTGCATTCGTATGCAGAAACTAGCGTTATTTTGTTTTTGCTTTCCTCAGTCACAACTTTCTCATGTAATTTCGCTGATTGATTTGAATTTTTTCATAATTTCTGTCATCTTTCTAGATGCGTTGCAAGTGAATACTGCTATAAGCGCTGACCATCGGAAAATTGTAAATGACCTGTTTATCAGTTATCACACTGGGATGTTACGACATCTCGAAAGAGCTTGCGCTACTATGAATGTTATACAAAAGAGGGTGAAACGACAGGAGCGGACGAGAGGTATGTTTCATTCCAAGATATTTCCATGCCTCAGAACGCTAAAACTGGGCCTCGTTTAGGAGATGCAACAAGTGAAGACAAAGCTGAGCTAGAGACTGCAAAAACGGAGTTTGAGCGATTGAAAGGATTAGCCACAGAGTTAAGCAACTCCCTTGGTGTACCTATGGTTGAACTCAAAGAAGAACCCAGTGATAATGAGGAGGACGAAGCTGCTGCTATGGAGGTGAGGAGGTAACCTAGTTTTTGTCAACAATTATTATCCAAGCAATTTAGATGGACAAGGCATTAGCCGAAGGACATGTATCGCTATGGCCAGACGACGAGACAAGAATGTTCTATGAAAATTTGATCGACATTAGGAACATTGTCCCAAGAAGTTT